AGAAGAAGAAGAAGAAGAAGAAGAAGAAGAAGAAGAAGAAGAAGAAGTAGTGAGAGCAAGAGTAACTTTCAACTTCCCCCATTGAGTTTCTTGATGGAAAGCTGCCAGGAATCATAAACTAACTTCCTTCCTCTGTCTAAATTTCTCTTGCAGGCTTTCCACAAAGTAAATGAGGAAGCTGATAGGAATTAAGGAGGGAATCACGGCTCCCAGATTCTGTGTTAACCTATCTGAGGTACCTTGGTTTAAAAATTACTGCTCTATGATGCATTGTTTCACCCAGTTAAAGGTCATGATGGGAGTTTTAATACTACATGTATTAAAATGTACATGTAGTGTGCAAGTGTTGGGCAAAAATGTATAAATTAAGAACACTTTCAGAAATACAAGTGTTAATAGTTTATTTTTATCCATTAACAAAATGGAAAGTAAATGAACAGAAATCCAAATCAATATTTGATGTGACTACCCTTTTGTCTTCAAACAGTATCAATTCTTAAACTTTCAAAAAATCAGGGTGTTTGTAGGATAAGAGTCAGGTGTATGATTAACCAATTACACCAAGCAGATACTAATGATCATCAGCTTCATATATAGGTTGAAACAGTCATTAACAGAAACACCTGTGTAGTGTCAGGGGCCAGCGATTGCCTTAATTAAATCATGAGCCGCGAGCCAAGCTTCAAAAGAATCCAAGATTACGAGCAACATGTCAGTATTGAGCCATATGAAGCCAACTCTGCCACACGTAACTTACGGTCACCTGTGACCCTGTTTCCCCATTCCTCCTGGGTGTCTCATAAATCAGATTCTCCAATGAAGCATGTTCACGTGTTGGGTATCATCAATCACATTCTCCAATGAAGGATTTTCACAGGCAGATCCGGTAGCCTAGGCTACAATCTTTGTAAGATAAGCATAGAATGTACTTCTGTTTTTAATTGCCATACTGCTCCTTCAGGGGTTTTACCCTTCCTGCTTATGGCAACTTGAAAAAAGGCATAGGAATGGAGGACTTAACACTGGGTGATGAACAACCAAACTCTGCTACTAAGGTGAGATTGTGAAAGTTTCCTGTCATTGTCACCAGTCATAAACCATGGCAATTCTGCACATAGGAACAAGAAAAAAGGTAATTATATCCTGCATTAGCAAGGTCTCTCTCAGGCAAAGATTTCAAAGCACACTAGGTTTCAAGATGTCTGTTCAAGCTCTTTTGAAGCACAAAAATATTTTTGTGGACCGTAGACACAGTGGTTGGCCAAGGAAACTTAATGCAACAGATGAAAGACACATCATACTTCTTTTCAACACTGGGAAATGTCCAGTAGTGCCATCAGAATAGAACTGGTGGAAACCAATGGAACGCAGGTATACTCAACTGCTGTCTAGAGAAGTCTGGCCAGAAGTGGTCTCCATGGAATACCTAGAACAATTGATGCTGTTTCGATTCAAGGGATGGTCACACCAAATATTGATTTGATTTCTCTGTTCATTTACTTTTCATTAATTGATAACAAATTATTAACACTTCTATTTCTGAAAGCATTCTTAATTTATAGCATTTTTGCACAAGTCCCTAAAACTTTTGCATGGTACTGTAGGTACCATATGTCTTCAGAGAGTTTGCATCTTTATTTAATCATCATTCTCTGTATATGAACTCTATAACTAAGGGAAAAATCTCTATTGTGTTATATAAAGCTTATCATGTAATGATGAGAATGCAGTATTGGCCACCACTTTGAGGTTGGCTGTAAGTCTTCTTGTTCAGTGCCATCATAACTTCAAACTGTCACTGAATGGTCATTAACCAAGGACTACCTACACATATATTTTAAAAATAATAATATTCTGAATAAAAACAATCACACAATATCAAAAAAAACCAATTAAGTACACATTAACTGGTCTAATTAACATTATTAACATTAGCAACCCCAACTGCAAGAATATTGCCTATATTTCTGTTACAGTTTTTCATATTGCAGACAATAACTCAAAATGATCTCCATAGCAGGAAAAACGAAAAGGAAAAACAGAAATCTTTCACATAGTCAGGGGAAAACATTCATTACTAATAGCAGCCCTGCAATGCAGAACCAGGCTTACCACTTTTTATCTGCCTAAGCAGGCTGTAAATATTCAGGGGGGGGGGGTATCTGTTATACAAATAAAGTACAGCAATAACACATGAAAAGATCAGTGAGAACTTCAACTTTGCAGGTTGAAACAGAATTCAACTAGTTCCCTTTCCTATATATGCTATACATTTATTTTTTAAAAAAATGTTACTCTGTTATATCCAAATACTATTTATGAACTTAAGGTAAAATTAAATTGATCAGCAGCACTTCACAATTTGTGCACAAAAAAGATAAGAATCTCTTGTTGTAAAACTAGGTTATACAGTATAGAAGCTACATAAAATTTCATTTGGTATCAAATTACACAGTGAAATGCTATTGCAATTTTTTTCAAAATCAAATCTTAAAAGCTTTAGTAGTAGTCAAAACTTCATCCTTACCCACTTTGAGAAGGAGAAAGTACTTGTTGCAAGAACTGAAGATTTAATAAGATCAAAGTAACAATATTTATTGCATTTTAAGATTGCATTTTAAAACAGTAAATTAATAGTGCACAGTGGCTTCATTTGAACCTCCTGAAAAGTGAGAAATGAAAAAGGCATAAAATCCCCTTCTACCTCATTAATGTGCTTCTCCAAGGGGCAGTATTTGGTTTAATAAATTGCCATCCCTGTGATCTAATACATTTGAATTAGTGGTTTGTGTACACTAAATCCATTTATTTTAAATTTGTTTTGTCTACATTGAGTGAAATAAAAACATCGCTCTGTACAATCCACTATGAGCAGTGAATACAACAGAAAAAAGTATGATACAGTTTATACAGACTAATGTTTTCCCATTTCTCCTATAAAGGAATCAGAACAAACCTAGTTAGTATGCAACTTAATTTGGAAGATCTCAAATGACAAAAGGGAAGGCCAAATATTACAGCCCATAATTGTGCCGAAAAAAAGGTTCTTCCTCATATTAACTGGAATACGAATGAGTGTAGGGGGAAAGAAAAACCAAGCCATAATCACCAGGCTTTTATAAATTTACCAAACAGTAAATTAAACATGGTTCTTTAAATAAATGTCCAAAACAGAGCATTATTTTTGAAATTCAATCTTACCATCGTGTGTTTTTCTTGTAACCCAACATACACAATGCACAAAGTGCTAAGTAACACTACAGAAAACACATTTACATCAACACTGAAGATTCGGGGAAATGAAATTTCAACAATTTTATTTTTTTTAATGAGCTGTATTTTCTAAATTTGTTTTTATTTTATTTTTCCTGTTTTCATACAGTATTGAAAACAAAAACGCGGCACATTTACATTTTCCCGAGGAAACTGTAAGGATGATCTCTACAGGGATAAATGCTGAGAAGCTTGAAGCTCAATCATTTTGATGTTGAAAAACTTTCTGAAGGAGTAAAGGCTTGATCTGACTGGTCTAGAACATGTATTGTAATTTAATGGAAGATATGGTCGTCTCAATATTTAATGATTTTTAAAAGAACTTCTCAGTTCATGCGAAGAATATAGTCCAAGAATAAATCATAGTTGTGGGACACGTTTTATGCTACGTAAGTGTATACTTTGCGGTCCTCAGGTGTTCGTGCCAAATATTCTCGCTCAATAAGTCCTTCAATACGCTTTTTAATAACAACTGGACTTGGGAGGAATCGTGCCTTCAGTTGTTGAGTTACCTGAAACAGAAGGTAAAGTATTTTAATGCTAGCAAGTAAGCAGGCCTGGATATGACTGTGTAAAAAACAAAACATGTAGGATGCTTTTTCAATTATTGATGCTTTCACAAATTTCATAAACTGAAAAACTAATTCTGTATTTTGGGGATCCTATGGTAAATATCGCTAACTATAAGCAAATATATGGTAGCTGGAGCTAGGACTGTCTCTAAGCAGGTACAAGCACTGGGTTTGGAAGGTAATCAGAGATGGACATGCTAATATTTAGGTACCAGGGCAATAAATTAAAGTCAAAAAGATCCTGAAATGTGATGATGGCAAACAACCTCACTACTGTTGTCCAAAAAAAGGCATGACTGCATCCAGGCAGTGAAATATTTAGATATATATTTACTTTTTTCCTCTCCATGTCAGCTGTAACTCTGTTTAGGAAAATAAAGCCTGCTTACATATATACATGCAATATTACATGAGATTATACCGACTATAATACACCATAAAGAAGCTAGTGTTTTCATGACCAACTCAAGGGACTGGTTTTGAGACTAAAGTGACCTGGGTCTAAATTATTTACTTCCAGAAAAAAAGGTGTCAAGTTTTTAAAAACAAGCATCACTAGCTTTGGTAGTACAAACTACTTTTATGGTTAGTATTAAGATTATAAGCTGGGGCTAGAATTAACAGTATCACCAATCCTACAGAAATCCTTCCCCAGGAATATGTGCCTAACTCCATGAGTACTTTTAAAGAACTGCTTTAACTCACTTTAATTGGGAGAGTTTTCATGAATCTTTTAACTGTGAAACTTTAATTTAAAATTGTTTAGAAACTTTTAACTTCAAGTTAAAACTTAACTTTAATTTCAATGTTTCAGTGATTAATTAAATTACCTCTGCTACTAGCACATTATGTTGCATCTTCTTTCTAGATTTCATTATCCGCACTATAGCAGCCTCTATCTCATGCTTTCTGTCATCATCTACTTTTTGCCTTGTTTCTTTTCTTTCGGGGTCTGACTCTCCTTGTTTGGCAGCAACTGAAAGAATAGAATAGACCCACACAATTAAAATAAAATAAATTAAAAATAATAAACATCAACAATTTGAAAATAGGACAAGTCAAAGTGATCCAGTAGTGTAATAACGAAACCTGTTTGATTTTCATTCCTTAATCAAGGTGAGGTTCTTATGCTCTTCCCAGATAAAATTCCCAGCATCTTTGATTATGCACCCAGAAAATTTTGGAAATTGTCTTTTGGCAATATCTGGAAACAGTGGTGAGATTCAAAAATTTTTACTCCGGGATCTGCGGCATGGCTTGGTGGGTGTGGCAGGGGAAGGATATTGTAAAATTTACAATCAGAGGTGGTACTTGCTGGTTCTCCAAACTACTTAAAATTTCCACAACTGGTTCTCCAGAACTGGTCAGAAACTGCTGAATACCACACCTCTGTCGGGAAGGCACCTCTGTCTGGAAGAGTTCTTTGTTCTTCCTTTAAAAGAGGGCTGACGCTTTTCATGAAGGAATACTTTAATGAGAGACATTTTGCTTAAGTCTCCTGGGGTAATATATTAACAGATCAATATAGACAAAAGGATGAGCCTTGGAAGAAACCCTCAGCCAGAAAAAGAGGAATTTGAAAGAATGATTAGACAGAGAATTAGCTGCTATAGAATCACAGAGATCTAACTGATAAATAACAAAGTGAATCAAAATATTTCGGGACTGGATCCAGAAATATGAGAATGAAAACCTTTAGATTTCGCAATTTCAGTGCAATGTCGAAGAGAGACTATCAATTCTAGAAAGGAGAATGGTGTTAGAATGGAAAATAAACTAAGAATTGTTCCCTCCCCTTTCCTTTTTTTTTGGTCAGGACAGTGAAATATTTGAAATCATTGGAGCAGAAGCCAGAGAAGAGACCTGTGTTGAAGAGTGTGAGAGTGAGCAATCAGGAATCAAACAGTGAAACTGACAGCTAAGTGAAAGTGAACATACCTGTTTGAATCTTGACTCTGTGCAGTTTGGATGTGAATTGATCATTCACTGTAAATATATGTCCATTTTCTATTTCTTTTGATTTTGGCTCCTTTGTAAGAACCCGTTGTGTAGGTTTTCCACATGCGAGGGACTGCAGCGCTCGTACTAGCTCTCTTTCAGGAATATCTGTCTCTTGTTGAATCTCCTATATCAAATTGAATAGATTTCGTACACAGAAGGGCAATTTTAAAAAAAAGAGCTCTTGGGATACTATCGTTCAATCTCCTGATCAGAGGTCACAAAAAAGAATTTGTGTTGTGATGTCACCAAAAGAGCATTATGGAGACTTCAGTCTCCATAATGCATTGTTAAGGGTCTTCGAACTGGGAATGAGAGAGTAGCTGGTGTGAAGAGTGAAACCTGAAATGGTTTTCCTTTCAGAGGGTTAATTCCCATTGTTATTGGACAAAAATAACCCACTCAAAATTGGTCACTTAGTGGTTGAATTTATATGGTATGTACTTAAGATATGGGGTGACCAATTAAGATATTTGGGGAGTTGTATACAGACTGTAGGTTATCCATTCTGTACAAGGGCATAGTATATTTTCAACACAGATAATAACAGTAATTCTTCCTCACTCTTTTGCCCTTTATCACTTCAGAAAATAGGCCACTAAAAATAACCCACGATATCCATTGTTTCTCAAAATAAAAGATGTTTTAAACAAAAATATGAAAGTGCATTCAAAAACACAATTCTGAATTTCAAGTTCCAAATTTCTAAATTCAGTGAAAGTTGTTTTCACTTGCCTAATAATTAGGATTATTCTTAGCAAGATTTTTCACAAAATACTTTAAATACCGAACTAAAACAATATTAAATATTTACACAACACAATCAACTTTGATTTAAAATATATTTTTAAAAAATTTTTTTAACTAAATTGCCAATCCATTAAATATTCACTTTTAAGATAACTTCCTACTGAATTTCAATGCCATGTATGGTGACATTTGAATGCAATAATCTGTTAAACCTATATCACCTGCATTTTACAGCTCATTACAAAGCAAAAAAGAACATTACAGAAAAAATATGCAGCATGAAAATGGTAATAGTATCATTAAATACTCTAAATAAAAATAATGGGAGGGAGAAATTGCAGCATATCAATTTCATTTACAATGGTGTAATATAAATTTCAAGATAAACAAAAAATGTAAAGCATAACAAATATGGCATTCTCAGATTTAATTAACAAAATGGTTAGTATGATTAATTAGTATTCTAGGTATTAGAATTGTATATCGCATATAGGAATTTTCTATGCAGTTGGTCAAAGATATGAATGATTCCATTTTCCCATGATTTATGAAAATAAAGGCATATTCAAGAGATAATGTGTACAGCTAACAAAGACTTAGCTCATACCTCAAAAGTGTATTTTTCTCTGTTATTGAAAAGCATGAGTATTGTCATCTGGAAAGTAGAGACTTGCAATATGTGCTTCCTTGTATTAGAGCCAGTTACTTGGGCACCTCCTACACCAACCTCTGAACCATCTTCCTGTTTTAATTATAAAAAATATCAAAAGTCATTCTAGGAATATTTTCATTTACTTAGTATTTAGTATACTTACTAAAAAGCCTTAGGTTGTTACATACTTTTCATTTAAAGGTATTTATCTTTGTTTTCTTGTCACAGGATTTAAATTATTTGCATTTAATGGTTGGCCTATTTTTTAACAAGCTATTGGAAAATCAAAGTTACCAGTATATCTTTTAAAAAACCTTTCAAACTATAGCTGAGAGCATGAAATGCAAAAGTATCTGTATATTAAGCCAAACCATAGTTTGTTGACAAAGAATGTAATCTGTAGAACAAGCATAGCAAAAAAAAAAATTCTTTTTTGTCTTCGCTAATGATGTCTTGAATGTCTCTGGATGGTTTTGGGAAAACAGCAGAAACAAACTGCCAGAAGCCACAAATAAACCATATGTATATCACAGTGCTACTATTGGTTAAGTTCCCAACAGATCATACTGTCAAGCTGTGCCTTGTTACCCTGAATGAAACTAAAAATATACAATTTACAGCTGTTTACAGAAATATACAATTACACCTCTACAATGCTTTTTATGAAAAGCATGCCTAGAATGCTGTAAAATCACACTATGAAAATTATGAAGTTGTGGATGTTCTTTAAGAAGAGATTGGACAACAACTTGTCTGAAATTGTGTAAGGTTTCCTGCTTGAGCAGAGGATTGGACTAAAAGATTTCCAATGTCCCTTCCAACTCTGTTATTCTGTAAGCAGTGATAAAAATTATTTTAAAATAAAGTCAAACAAGATGGGCATGTCAAGCCTGGAAGAAATAACATATCTGAGACTATGAAACCACTATAAAACCTAATAGCCATAGGCACACAAAGCAAGCCAACAAACAAACAAACAAATGTGCAATCCCTGGCCACTGACAGACCATCCTGTGCCAAGAAACAAAACATAACATAGTAATTATAATGGCTGCATTAAAAACTATAAACAGAATAATTCCATATGGCACCTTCCAGCTATATTAGAATTTCTAGCATCTCTTTGAAAATAGCTGGCAACTGTAACACAATACATCTGGACAACATCAGAACACATTTAGCTTTGGGAAGGCTGCTATCCCCATAAAGACACTGTGATGGAGAACAGAGCAGGTAGTCCTTGCTTAATAACTACAAATGTGGCCAGCAACTCCATCACTAAGCACTGTTATTAAGCAAGATATCACAGGACCATGATGAACCCACCATATGACTTCCCACTTGATTGTTATGCAAATCACCATGTGTAGTTAAGTGAGACATCACCTGACCACAACTTGTGATTTCACTAACTCTGCTTGTTGAAAACTGGCTGTGAAGCTCACAAGTTGTGATCATGTGGCTTCAGAGATGCTGTGGCACTTATTAGTGTGCGGACCAGTTGTAAAGTTATTTTTTCAATGCCATTATAATTTTAAACAGTTGCTAAATGGGGCAGTTGTTAATTGATGTCTATATCTACTATAGAAAGAAATTTGAAGTTTATGTGGTTCTGATTCTCTGACAATTTTTGGCAGAAAAACTAGATACCTTTGTTATATCACACTGTAAGTTCATCCGTACATTCACAAGACTACTTCATTTAGTAAATCTCCCAAAATACAATTTTGTGTAGCATAAGATTAACAATGGTGGTCAGTGGCACAAATTAAAGGCTTAATTTCTTTACAAGTTTTGCATTTTTTTCAATTTACCCAATATACATATTAAAAATACATTTAAAATGTATTTCTTTAATATATGCATTTTTATTACTCTAATGAATATATTCATGTTTATGTCAATTATTTCAGAATCACATTTGAATGCATTTTTTGCTTAAAGCACATGTAAAGTTTGGAAAGTGGCTATTCTGAAAGATAACTGAATGCCAAATGAAACCTTTTTTGGAAAGTATAAATATAGTAAATTGTCATTAAAAGATGACTCAGACCACACTATTTATAAGCAAAGGCACTTACTTTTTTTACAGGGCCATAGAAGGTGGCATTAAGATCTGCCGAACCCATGTGATGTTGGAGTGTTAGCTGCCGTCCACTATGTTTGGCTAAATAAAATCTACAAAATTCAAGAAAATCAATTGATAGTTGCATAACTGTATTGCAAATTTTCAACAAAAAGTTTTTTATAAACATTTTATTAACAATATTTAATTTATTACAAAACATTAGCTATTTTGAAAATTTCATCCAGAAACTATAGTTCAAATGTTATGTTATCTTAAATATTTCATACTAATTATAATCTTAGAATTGTGGACCAACCGGAGTCCACATATGTAAGATGGCTCGGTACACAAATCTAATAAATAAAAACTTATTAAAACAACTGCATGCAATCCAAAAAATGTTTCTAAGCCTTCAATGTCTACATTCCTTTTTCTCAAAAAAATCTTGCAATAGTAGAATACTATTTTTGAAATACCTAGTGGGGATGCAGAATAATTTAGCACATAAACACTCACAAAAATCTGGGCGTTGACGATGCTTTAAAATAAACAAATTCCAAGCCCCCCACCCCAAAAAAAAATAATAAAAAAAAAATCTTAAGAATTTCTTACCTCCTAAATATTTCAAAAGCATGCCTGGGGGCTGGGGGAATGTTGCACTTTGGTGTGGCTGACTGAGTGGGCCAGTAACCTGTTGTGAGAACTCGCACTGTCAGATCAACACCGCCTAGTGAGACCTATAAAAATAAAGGCAAACAATGCATTGTATCCTATTATAATTCTGCCCTTTCATTATTCAACATGTTTTATATATCTAGATATAGGAATTTATATTCCTAGTTTTCATTATACTGGCACATAATTTATTTATCAAATTTATACAGCCGCCCAGTTGAGCAGAAGTGACTATATTTTACACCCAGTGGTGGGATTCAAAAAATTTTACTACCAGTTCTGTGGGCGAGGCTTGGTGGGCGTGGCAAGGGAAGAATGTTGTAAAATCTCCAGTTAGAGGTGGCATTTGCCGGTTCTCCGAACTACTCAAAATTTTCTTCAGAAGTGGTCAGAACCTTCTGAATACCACCTCTGTGCACACCATAATGTAAAATATGAAGTGATGCTGAAAGAAACATATTCTATTGAAGATAGGGAACTGAAAAATCAATTTCATCAGATACTTCAAACATTGGGACTGTAATTGTAAATGAAAGTTTAAATCTAAGATCCCTTTGAAGCTTTCAGAACTGATGGCCATTCTTAACAGTTTCCCAGACAGGTAGTCTTTGATTTATGATAATTAAGCCCAGAATTTTGGTTGTAAGTTGTTCAGGTTATAAGTTGAATCACCATGTGACTGGATTTAATTTGATCACATTGTTAAATTAGTCACAACAGGGTTTTTTTCTGGAAAATGACAAAAAAGTTGCAACCTGTGATCACATGATGCTGCAACCAATTGTAAATATGAGCCAGTTGCCAAATGCCTGAAATGTGATCATGTTATCTGTGGGGGTAGGTAGGTCAGTCATAACTTTGAGGACAGGTGGTAAGTAACTTTTTTTCAACTTTTGTGTCATAACTTCAAATGGTCATTAAGCAATTGATCATAAATTGAGGACTACCTATATATTGTGCTTACCCTTCCATGCAATTTTGCTCCAGAGTTTACTATCAGTATTAACTATTAACCATTAGCTAAATTTCATTTGTTCATGATGCTGAGAATATAGCTATTATCTATGAAAGTTGGCCTTTCCAAATTAACAAATAGCATACCCACTTTAATAGCTGATAAAAACAATAGGAGAGATTGAATATAACAATGTGTAAAACATTCTACATGTGATCTATTTTGTGAAGGAGTGGTCCAACTTCAAAGTGAAGTATACATATATTGGGTATTCTGTCCATATGTGAAGCAAAATAGAGTTGTTCTATCCCAGAAGTAATTTGGAGCAGAAAGAATAGGGAGAAATTCAAAAACGTAGGTAGCTAATGGGAAGAAAGGAAAGTACACAATAACTGAGAACACAGATAGGCCAATGGCAAATGACACAGATGAATAACTGCTGAAAAGAGAAAGGGAGCAATATATAAGTAGACCACAATGGAGATAAAAATTTCTACTGCTAAGTGCAATATTTGTTAAATTTTATCCCATTTACGACCTTTCTAGCCACAATTGTTAAGTGAATCACTGCAGTTGTTAAGTTAGTAACATGATTATTAAGTGAATCTGGTTTCCCTGCTGACTCTGCTGGTCAGAAGGTTGCAAATGGATGATCACATGACCCCAGGACACTGCAACTGTCATGTATGAGTCAGCTGCCAAGCATCTGAATTTTGATCATGTGATCACAGAGATACTGCAACAGTTGTAAGTGCAGAAAATGATCATAAATCAATTTTTTCAGGGCTGATGTAACTTTGTAGTCACTAAATGAACTGTTGTCAGTCAAGGACTAGCTGTACATTAACCCTGCCCTCTTCATGTTGCCTAGAATTTGTTTCATCCCAAATCCAGAACAAGATGAGAAGGGTAGTTAGGTAACTTTCAAATTATTGCAATCTAGAAGAGATTTTATTACATTTTTAAAATGTATGAATTACAAAAAGCTTTCAATGCAATACAGTGCTGCTCTAAGTACTATCAGATCTTAAATTATTCAATTAGTTTTCATTACAAAAAAATCAAAATCTGCCATCTGCTGGTGAAGCAATTCAGTTAGATTTTTAAAATATATCTAAACAAGGTTTCACATGTAAGGATGGAATGAGCAATTGTATGCAAATTAATGAATATTATGTGTACAAGTTTGTCCCTAAACCTTCAGAACCACAGCAAGCATTTCTTTTGTAGACTCCAGTATGCAAGAAGTGATTTTTGAATGAAGCACTGAACTAACAGAAGTTGATTTATGATTGCTAGAATTATGTACTGCTTTCAGCTGAAGAATTACACAATTATCGGATTCTTTTGTACCTTGTGTTTTAGTTATTTTGACTTTACAAGATAGCAAGCCTTGGAACCATTGATACATAATGATACTATGGATACTATGGAAGTATAGCCTTTCAGTCTCACAATTTTGTTTCTGGAAAATCTCTTTTCTCAGTCGATCTAATTCTAATTTAATATTATTCAGCTTTCGAGTTGGTTGTTCTAGCTTCATGGCACCAACTCGGCCTTCCAGGCTGCATTTTATCCCAGTTTGCTTGCACCTAGAAAACAACTACCTTTACAAACCTGTTTCTTCCCCAAGCCCCAGTTAGTTGCACTTACACAATCTTGCCCCACGCCCCCATTTGACAGGGACAGTTCTGCTACACTTATCTCTGCCTTAAGGGCTACAGCAGCAGCGCTGGATTTCTCCTCACAAATGTTCGCACAACTGCAAACCTTGTCCACCCACTTCACTATTTTGATCTAGTTTTGTCTCACCCAATTTTCTCTTTACCTGATTAACTAGACATTCAACATTGCTAGAAATAAGGAAGATTCTTTGCTTTATTCGTAGAGATGATTTTATTAACTTTCATTTTCAATCCTTTTAAATTCTAACTTCATGCACTTTTCCTGGCTGGCGTCATAAAATCACCTATTTAGAACAATTATATGATATTGCTGACTCTACATTTAATCCTAGATGCTGCTGTTTCAAATTAAATATATCCAAAACAAAAATTCTTATTTTCCCTCCCAATCATTAACAGCTGCAAACACAGCATTTAAAAGCCATCACTTTGTCATCAACTCATGGATTTTCTTTATATTTCTCTCTGCCCTTGATAATTAAGCAAAAATATGATTAGTCTTCTCCATGATCTTTTTTAAAATCAGAACTCAGAACTATTTATTACTCCTAAATGAATATTCTAGATTGTTTTTTTATATGTCTCTCCAATTCTCTAAACCAATATTTTCTATTTTTGTTAGTATATATAGGGTGTTGAAAACTGATTATTTCCAAAGAGATAGTAGTTGTAATTTTATGTTGAAATAATAGCCAGCTTTAAAAGTTAACACATTTAGCTGATATGGTAACATACTATACTGTGAATATAATAAAAACTCCAGAGACATGGTTTTCTTTATAGTTCATTAACTATCATTTCCGTTGTAAATATAAAAAAACATGCATAAGATTATCCAATACTTTTTGCTTATACTAGCTTCATAATCCAAATTGGTTGGAAGCAGAATGCAACAACTTTCTTAGTCCAAAGAATATCATTTTAAATATACGTATGTGGTTGTAATATTGACCAACATATTCCTTTGTCTTATAAAGCAAATGGTAGCAGCATTAATTTCTATGCATTTAGAGAAAGAATGTGAAGGAAAAACATAAGGATCCCAAATTACAAATCACTCCAAACTACTATTAAGCATAGTAAACTGAGATATATTTATTTTAAAATAAATCTGATTTTTAAAATGGAATCACTCATATACCATGATTTAAACATGCTGGATAAATCATATGCAGCAAACATATGAATCATTCATATGATAGTCCTGATATAGCACTGATAATATTACCTAGTTTGGATAATGAAATGTCTGCAAGAAAACAACTAATCTTAGAGAGCAACAGAGACCCCTAATTTCAACTCTAAGCTACAAATATTTTCCTTATTGATATGAATCATTCTTTCACCTGAATCCTTCTTAAGGGATTTAAGCTGTATTCCAATTATAGGGTCTCAAAGGAGAAGTACATAGTTATTTTAAATTGGCATTTAGTATTGAACTGTATTTTTAGAGCTTGTTTCAGTGACTCTCAAATACTGTCTAGATGAATAAAGAAAATCTCCTGAAAACAATTCCAGGTGCACAAAATGAAACACTCTCAAATCAGAGAAGAAAAGATGGAGCAATAACAATAATGTGAGATAAGTTTTAATGGTAACTGAAAAATAGGGATTTAGACAAAGAATTTTCATTCCGTTTGCTGGAATGATTTACTTTGCTTTTCTTATTATTAACAAAAGAGATTTTGTTATTAACTTTTTAAAGCCTATTAATAAATTGTATTTTCCTTTGTATTTTCTAAAGAAGCAGATGCATGGATATTAATTTCCTACGCAGAAAGGGCATTGGTACTTACCTGATACGCCCGTTCTCTGTGAGCTGTGAAGAGCATCCAGAAGTGGGAGGTGCTTCAGTCTCTTCTGGAAAAGCTGGGCTTAAAACTCCGGGATGCTCCTCCTCCTCCACGGGACACCTCCCCAGCGTCCCTCAGTTTTGCGAAGACTGAGTGCCAAAGTCTGGAACTCATCACCTAATCTTGATCCCTGGCCAGAACGGAACCCCACCAGACGGAAAGAAATGAGTAGGGCTGGATGCTCTTCACAGCTCACAGAGAACGGGCGTATCAGGTAAGTACCAATGCCATTTCTCCCATGAGCTGTTCAGAGCATCCAGAAGTGGGACATACCAAAGCATGGCCTGCCCTTAGGGAGGGACTCCGTCTGGATCGAAATCCACTCCTAAACTCTGTGGACCCTCTGCAGGACTCTTCTGCCAAATGAAGTGTCCACTGAGGCATAGACATCATTTTTATAATTTCTGACAAAGGGCGATGGTGAAGTCCAAGTTGCTGCTCTGCAAATTTTGTCTATGGAAGCCTGTGTGGTCCATACTGCTGATGTTGCTGCACTCCTTATTGAGTGGGCTGTAATGCCCTTAGGAACTGAGATGGACTGGCATTCGTAACTTTTAGCTATGGTGGCTCTCAACCATCTACCAATGGTTGTCGACGACAACTTGTGTCCTAAAGTGGATGGGTTGAAGGACAGGAATAGAGCCTCAGATTTTCGAAACGCCGCCCTGCGGGCTAGATAGATGCTTAACACCCTTCGAACGTCAAGTCGATGCCATTGATGCTCCAGTCTATGAGATGGTTTCGGACAAAAATTTGGAAGCACCAACTCCTGCGCTCTGTGGAAGACTGAATTTACTTTAGGGGTGAACGATGGATCCAATCTGAGAACCACTCTGTCCACATGAAACACGCACAGGTTCCATCCTTTCTCATCGACAATGCTGCCAATTCAGAAATCCTCCTTGCTGATGTGATCACAATTAAGACCACCTTATATGTCAGGAATTTGAGACTAACGGTTCTTAAAGGCTCGAATGGGCCAGTAAGTGCGGTTAACACCTTGTTGAGCTCCCAAGTGGGATAGTGGTAAATTACAGGAGGTCGTAAGTTTGCAGCACCCTTAAGAAAGCTGCGGACATGTGGGTGGTGCGCTATGGAACGAAAGTCCCCAGGATATCACCGAGGCTAAGGCCGCCACCTGTCTGTGTAAAGTATTTGGAGATAGGCCCTTGGTCAACCCCTCCTGTAAAAAGTCCAATAATTGTCCTATTGATGGGGCGGTTGGGTCGATCTTAGACCCCTGGCACCAGCAATAGAAAGCGGACCACGTGGCCTCGTATATACGATTTGTTGAGGACCATCTGGATGCTTTTATGGTGGCAATGGCATCCTCTGAAATCTGTTGGGTCCTTAAACGGCTCCGCTCAACCTCCATACGGCTAGGCTGAGCCATTGTGGGTCCGGGTGAAGTACCGGCCCTTGCGAGAGGGAAACCCTCGACGGTGGAATTTAAGTTGTTCTCTCGACAGGTCCTGTAAGTCCGCGAACCACGTTCGCCTGGGCCAGTAAGGGGCGACCAATATCAATTCCGTTCATTCCTCCAATAACTTCTGGATCAACCTGGGTATTACAGAGAGTGGAGGAAAAGCATATAGAAGTCCGGGAGGCCACTGACATCGCAGGGTATTGACAGCCTCTGCCCCCTGAGTCGGGTACCTTGAAATATACCGGAGCAATTGGGCGTTGAGGGGAGAGGCAAATAGATTGATCATTGGTTGCCCACACCTCCGCACTGCTTCCTGGAAGAAAGATGGGTGTAGGCGCCACTCTGTCTGATCTACTGTGGCTCTGCTGAGCCAGTCCGCTTGTGTGTTTAAGGCCCCTGCTATGTGCTCTGCTTTGAGCAAAAACAGATTTGCCTTGGCCCACTTGAACAACCTGGCAGTCCCCAGCATCAGAAGTTTGGAGTGGGTACCCCCCTGTCTGTTTACGTGGGCCTTGGTTGTGATATTGTCTCTCAAGACCAGAACGTGGCGTGATTGGAAAAGGGGTAGAAAACTGCGTAACACCAGATGAACTGCTCGCAGCTCCAACAGGTTGATGCTTTGTGATTGTTCGGAAATAGTCCAACTTCCCTGTGCAGTGTGGGATTAGAAGTGAGCTCCCCATCCTATGAGGCTGGCATCGGTTGTGATCGTTGCCCTGCAAGGTTCCTTGAAAGGATACCCCTTGTTTATTGTGTTTTCCGACCACCAGCAGAGTGATCAAAGAACATTGTGCAGTACCTTTTTCCGGACGTTGGAAGTGGTTCTTCCGGATCGCTGGAAAGGTTGCAGGAACCATTGCAGATCTCTAGAATGGAATCGAGCCCAAGGCACAATGGAAATACAAGAAATCAGTTTCCCTAACAGTTGAGACAGAACTGCCAGGGAAACCCTCTTTAAGGCTCTGATCTCTCTGGCCAAAGACTGGATACTATTCAACCTGTCCTGAGAGAGAAAAACATTGCCCTCCATGGTGTCTATCACTCCCCCTAAATGAACTAACCTAGTTGAAGCTTTTATCCCAATTTATGGAAAAGCCATGACTTTAAAGGGTCTCCAGAGTAACCTTGATATCCAAATTTGCTTGATGTCTGGAAGATGACAAAATTAAAATATCATCCAGATAACATTGTAAACGAATAGATTTGATCCTGAGGGAGGCAGCCAAAGCCGCTAGGACCTTGGTAAAAGTCCTAGGGGCTGAAGCCAGACTGAATGGTAGGGCTATATATTCGTAGTGCCAATCACAATAGCAAAATCTAAGATATTTGTAGTGAACAGGTCTAATTGGTATATGTAGATAAGCCTCTGTCAGATCTATAGAGGTCAGGACATTGTTCTCTCTGTTGCTGAGCAGAATGGACTGAAGAGTAGTCATCTTGAATTTTCGATAAACCAATGATCTGTTCAGACGTTTGAGGTCCGGAATTGCCCTCCAGCCCCCCGAACTCTTTGGGACCACAAACAATAGAGAGTAACAGCATTGACCCCATTGTTCAGATGGGACCTCTCTCATGGCCTGAATATGCAGATGATTGATACCCTCCTGCATCAACGTTCTCTTAATGGGGTCCGTGGACCTAGGGCTCCTGATGAAAAAGTTCGGGAGGGAGGATTGAAATTCTAGCACCAAACCAAATCTAACAGAGTCCCTGACCCATGCATCAGAGGTGGAGCTGTCCCATTGGAGCGGAAGACGTTGTCACCTTCCATTGTGGAGGACTGATTCTCGTGCCTCTAATTTTAATTTTTTTAAAATAATAATAATAATAATAATAATAATAATAATTATTATTATTTGTACTTAGGGGTGATGCCTACCCCTGTGGTTGAAAGTAGAACGCTTCTCCAGGAGTTTAAGTCTATATATACATATCTACATATACACACATATATACACATACACATATACATATATATACACATATATATATGTATATATATACATATACACATACGTGCCTATATCTGCACGTAAAACTGTATATGGGAAACAGTATCTAAGGATCCCCGACAAGGGAAACCCCCAAGCGCTCCAAGCAAGAAATATTCTGGTCCCCAACAAAGGAAACGAGCTATACAGGGCCTGGATAGATCCTTTCCTGTCAAAAACGTCCCGCTGTTTGAAATGGCACTTGCGGCTTCACTCCAATGTAATGATCCAAAAGCAATTGCAAAAAGAAAAAAAAATCCTGTTTAAGGACTAGCCTGCTTATCCAACGCCAGCAAGATAAAAGAGAAATAATGCCAGGGAAGTGGAGTGGGAAGGTACCTGCCCCGGTCCCCAAGAAGGGAAACCAGCAGGGAATGGCGCCTGTGATATTTAGGCGCGAACTTGAAGCCAGCTGTTGAAAATGGCGGGAAGGCAGAATCTCTGTTAATTGCCTGAGCAGTTTAACAAGCCGCTGCTGCTGACTCTCTAAATTGTCAGATAAATGATCCTGTCAGTCGAAACGGCAAGGAGAAGTGAGCCACGGCTGCGAGCGCTCCGCCAAGATTGCAGAGATAAGACGATCGGGGGATTAGATAAGCTAATTGTCTGAAGCGGCCATCTCAGGCTGCCTACGGAGTGGCAGGCTCCACCAGCCACAAAGAACTGCTCTCAAACTGATTGGGGGAATGACCTAATAGAGCCACAAGCCTTGAAATCGCCAAATTAATTAGGGAAAAATTTACAAGCCAAATTAACCCAAGAGCAAACCTGAATTTTGACTAGCTGAATAGAAAACCATTCCAGTCAGGAAGTGCACAACCTCTTACCACGAAGGCTGAGCTAAAACTGGGGGATGCTGGGGAGATGTCCCGTGGAGGAGGAGGAGCGTCCTGGTGTTTTAAGCCCAGCCTTTCCAGAAGAGACTGAAGCACCTCCCACTTCTGGATGCTCTGAACAGCTCGTGGGAGAAACATAAATGTAGAAATAGATCTGAGTGTTATGATAAATTTTGCAGTTTTTCTTTAGATGTGTGACACCACCTTGAATATGACCATAACAAAGATTAAAGCTGAAAAAAGGGGTGGGATTTTACATTGAAAATCTGTGGGGAAATAATAAATAATACTTATTAATTAGCAAAGTTCTACAGGAGTGTGAAAAAAATCCAAACTCCTGTACCTGCCAAATTCAATTTCTTATTTTGAATCCACTGCCTTCAGTTATTTGTAAAAATAATAAAAGCAAGCATGAAACAAGCAAGTTCAATAAATCAACATCTAGATCCAAAAAAAGACTAAGTTCCAGAATTACCACATGGCTGGGGAGGGGGGGTTTATATGAAATAGATGGCCACAACTCAGAGCCTAGTTTTGAAGTGTAGCTACCTGTTCAGAAAGATAAGCATTTATGAGAGAAGTACCAAATATATAGAATAGTATGTACACTCCTGGAAACTGGTGCTTTGAAATATCTCTGCCCCCCACTTCCAGTAGCCATTCTGCAAAATAATTGTTAAGAGACACTTCTCACAGTCAGAGGAAAATGACCTCATATTAAATCTTGTCCAAAACAAGTTGCAGTTGGAACTCCAGCCACATGCCCAAAACAGAGGGCTCTCTAACCTGAGCATTGTTCAGACAAAAATAAAAGCACTAAAATAAACATTTTGATTTTGCTATATAAATTATGCACTTTTCATACCCAATGGTTGTAGGAATTCTCTTGTAAAATTTCTTAGATTCCCCCCGCCCCCCAATAAATTATTTCCTCTCCCTTGGCAGGGGCACACCTGATAAAGGATCAGACAACCTCTTCTCAAAATTCCAAATATGACCACCAGGTCAAAAAGTCTGTGAATCCTTGAAGTAAGTCAAAAATTTGCATCTTACCCCTGTGGCCTGTAGATGTTGCCTAAATTCATCCATTGTTGTGTTTGAGATGCTCATGTCCCTGAACATTCCTTCCAATTTTGATGTGAACTGACATCCACATTCAGTCTGCAAAAGAAATAATTATTTATAGCATGATTTAAACAGGGAAACCTCTTAGGTTGGCTATTTAGAATTTCAATACAAATATTTAAGTAAATTTAAGGAAGTTATGAAAAAAACATGGTTCCAGTTACTAATTAATCAGCAGTAAATATCAACAGGCAATTACACTAATTTATACCTTGATTATCAAGCATCTAATTATTCTACTAAATTTTACTGAAAATAAGAATTTACTATTCCAATCTTTTAAAATCCAACATGGAATAGAGATTGGCAAGATTCTGATTAAATGTCTCTAAATTAATGTAGTAAATATTCACTTAGCCCTTTCAAAGCATAAATCATACTTAAAATAACACTGTAGGTGCATATTAATTCAACCACATACTACTTAAAGCAGGAATGCAAAATTTTATGGTTGGAGGATGGGGAAGCAATTTTAGGAGGATTATTTTTTAGGAAACATCAGCCCAAAGAATCCAACTGTTTCTTCCAAGCAAAGTGGGGAAAGCATGGTCTGTAGATATGGAGGTTATTTGCAGCTTGAAGAAAAATACTTCCCTATCCACTGGGATTCTCTCAATAGTCTACAACAGGGGTGTCAAGCTCAAGGCCCATGGGCCGGATCCAGCCCATGGGATACTTAGATCTGGCCCACGGGGCTGCCCTGAAAACAGTGAAGGACCACCCCATAGTACCTCTGCCAGCTAAAAGTGACTTGGGAGGGCCATGACCCTCCCGAGCTCCGTTTTGGCTGGAAGACCACGTGGGCCACCACAGGCATCCCTGACACGAGTGACGTCAAGCTGGCCATGCCCACCCTCGGCCCGAGGTCAAACACAACCTTAAATGAAATTGAGTTTGATGCACCCCTGGTCTACAATGACAACTCTTGCATCATTTCCCATCTTTCCAGTGTAAATGCATACTCAATGTTCATAGGAAGCAAATATCTTAATTTTATCAGCTTTAGATTTTTAATGTAGCATTGATATTTGATTTATATTCTGCATTTTTACTGGAGTGCCCATGGGCTTATGCAAAGACAACCCACAATAGCCTTAGGAGGTATGCTAAACTGAGAAATTGTGACTAATACAATGTGTTGAGATTTCATGGCTGAAAATGGATTCAAACTTGGATCCTCAGCCTTAATATAACTTCTTAGCCACTCTACCACAATGGCTTAATAATTCTTTGCTGACAAAAACAAAATGTTTGAACTAAATATACCTTGCTTAACATTGTATAATATTTACAATTAACTGAAACAACTAATTACACTGCAATTTATCCCACTGAGTAGATGTTATCAAAAAATTAAAGCTAAGTGGAAAAGTCACTGAGAAATTGTTACACTGCTCTTACCTTTAGCTTAGATATCATGTTTTTCTCGGAATCATCTGAAACACTCTTGTTTGTCAGAAGCCTCCTTGCTAAGTGCTGCTTATAATATCGTTCAAATACATCTTTTTCTTGCATAAATCTAAACAAAACCATTGCTTTGTCCAATATAGTCTCCACCTCTTGCTCAGTTAGCTATAAAGATAAAAACAATAGGCAATATATTAATTATTAGAATAGTCAAAAAACTATGACTTTTATAGAAAATATTTCTCAAAACTAAATTATCTTGCTGTTAATTTAGGCAGGGATTGAAAAACAGGTTATAGATTATCTGATTCAGTCTATTTATGAACAAAACAAAAAATCAAAATTCTATAAATATAAGACTGTAAGATTTATAAGGTTCATTGTAATGAAAGTTACTTAATGTTTTAGTTTTGAATCTTTAAAAGTGACTTAAACAACTATGATGCCAGTCTTTTGTTTCCATGAAAGCTAAGAACCAGCACCTTGAATTATACCTAGAATCAAATGGTTATTAGTGCAGCTCACAATTAGAAGTGTATGTAAGTGAGAGACCAGCTGGAGCTTCCAAGTAGTCACGGGCCAAGGGCAGCTTCATGTAAAGTGAATTGTTTTCATCCAACTATGATGTAAGGCAGAAGTGACTGTAAGCAGGGCCTCCCAATGTAGAGGTGGATATAACTGGTGCACATGGCAAAGCTGTAGAAAAGGTCACAGCTGCCACCTGCTCTTCAAACAGGAGCATGAAATTGTGCATTGGATCTGTTTGCAGCAGTACTACCCTATTAAGAACCAGTTTAAAAAAATCTCCATACTCTGGGGTTCCACAATCCCCAAACACTCATTCTTACAAGAGATGAATCTGAACCTCTTTTCTCCATATATAGTCAATCCCTGCAGATCCCAGAACCTCATTAGCACTGAAGGATCTGGATCTGAGCTCCACAACAGAGAATCATTACCATATTGACGATAGCTAGCTCTGCCAATGAATACAATTGTTAACTCAGAGCAGGGAGCGAACAGCTCATGGGAGAATCACCCTGCCTCCCACCCATGGATAAAGCAAGATCAATGCTGCTTTCTTAAAGTATTACAGATCTGAAAACTAACCAAAAGGGATCAAAATAATGCAATTCTTTCAAATGTGATAGCAAAGAGAAAGATATGAGGATGGAATAACTGAAAGGCAAATGAGTTACATCAGTCTTCAAATCCTGACTCTCCCATAATTGACTAAGACCTCATAACTGACTTCTCTATGCTTAGCTTAATATCTATATATGGTTTTTATATGAGCACATTATTAACTTGTTAGTAATTTTCTATATACATACTTAATTCTAACAAAGGAATATATCTATGGAAGACTATATTCCCTATTTCAATATGGTTTAAGTATGTACACATGCATGTAGTATTTTGCAGAAGTTTACAGTCCTAAAAGGAATTTATTCCATCTATTTTTTTAAATACATATTTATTTTTTATATTCACATTAATTTGTAATAGTTATTATTGCATTATATAAATAAATTAGAGTATAGAAATACATATTTTTGTAGCTGTTTTGTCAGAAAAACTGCATAGTTGTAATAAAAAGTATACTTACTCCCTTGACTCCTTTTTTTAGCTTATCGTCAATAAATAATGAGAGATACTCTGGAGATCTAGAGTTGAGGTTAAGGAAATATTCAAAATCACCCGCAATTGTTTGTTTGAAGAGCCTGTCATTATTAAAAGATTCTTGAAGGAAGCGATCAAACCTACTCTTCAAATCCAGTAAGCCCTTAGAACAACAAAGCATATTATTTTTTTAGATTTCTACTACATTTTAAATTAAAATCATAGTTACCATTATTTTGGAACTTATAGGACTGATAATTTTTACTGTCGCCAAAAATTCTTTAACTTGGATGCTAAAATTTCCCTGCCTGTTATCCTATCACATCTTATATTTTTATAGATATATTGTTCTTGCAGTACCATAATAAAACAAATTAAGGCTTGATAAGTATCTCTTAAGACAATTAATGTCCTTCTCAGACTCTTCTGGGGATAATGACTTGGGGTTCATTCTCATGAATTGAATCTTCAATGCACTCTACTCCACACCATTTTTACAATCACAATTATTCAAGCGGAGTTCTTGGGAATGGAAATCCCTTCACTCCAATAAAACCATTATTATCATGCAGAGGTAAATTATGTGACTAATATTTGCAGAAAATAATGCAATATCTTGTTCAGAAGATCCTGCATTGTTTTGTATGTTTCTGAAGATGGAACAATTGTCTCCAAAAAGCTAAAAAAATTTCAAGGAATGCCTTCTTAGGGAGAAACCCCCCCCCCCCCTAATAATTCAAACTCTGGAAATCATAAAAGCAAAAAAGGGTATCCGGAGATTCTGATGTTATACTATGCTTCTGAATGATATATGCTGGGCTCCTGTTACTAATATTAAGGTATGATTACTGATTACGGCTGCTTTTTGTTTTAGTGTTTTTCTTGTTCTTCATACCCTAATATATTTAAAATATTCCCAAAAGTATATCTTCTGGAGAAGATGAGGTGAATCATATTTATTTTTGATTTAGAATTTACCCAAAAAGCAGCACTAATGATGCCTATAAACAGTCAAAAGGTGCCTTAAACCACTAGACAAATTAGCCAGAAATTCAGACTAGGAAAGCAGTTATATCCAACATACTTCTAACTACCCCTAGACAAACAGAGAATTACTGTGGACTCAAGTATATAAATGCAGTATCCTCATTTACCATCAGTTTAGAGAATCTGGTCAATTATGTTCTTCAGAGTGAGACTTTCACAAATTAGTTTAGAGAAAGGTTTCAGAGGAAGGAAAATTGACTGAAATATTTTGTGCACCTAACATGAACCATATTAAGAAGCGGTCTAGAGAATTATTTTCTCCCTTTCAGATAAGCTGATGTCTCATGCTGTTTACTTTACTGAAAGTGAAAATATTTTTATTTTTCTTTGCCTCAAAGGTGCTTTTCCAAAAATTGGACTTTGTTTTTTTTCTTTGAAAACATTTCACTTCTCATCCAAGAAGCTTCTTCAGTTATAACTGACTAGTGGAGAATGGAAGCATTTATGTTCTTTGCAGACATCTGGTTGTTAGCACTCTGAGGGTGCTATAGATATTTTTGACATCTATGTCAAAATTGAACAATCCTCCCTCAACAGAGGGAGAGGGATATGACACCACCTATCTCTTGTTTACCACACAGTCCTTTCAGCAGTCCCAAGACGTTCCACATCCATTTACACTCTGACTCAGGGGATACAGAGAAACCCCAAGTGGCCCCAATGATTCTCAAGAACTAACAAGCAGATAACTGCAAAGGATATAAATCCTTCCATTCTCCACCATTCAGTTCGAAGTGAATTTTCTTGGATGAGAAGCAAAACATTTTCAAAGAAAAAAAGTCCACTTGCCTTTTGAGAAAAGCTCCTTTGGGACAATCATGACCTGGATGATTGAGAATCTCCACTGATTTGTGAATATTTTTTTAAATGCTGTTGTAAATTGAAAGTTTATTCAAAATGCCTCCGTTGGATTAAAATTATAAACCTTCTAGGATTTGATAGGAAATCACTTTTCTGAGAAATCTCTGTTTAGAGTCATTAAAAAACCTTATCTCAAATGAAAAAAATGAGCTAATTTGAGAAACCAATAAAAAGTATTAAAATGTAAATACATACTATTTAAATTTTAGGGGGAAATGATTCTCAATCATTTCTCTTTGCTTATCTCTACTATGAAACGTTGCTAAAGCAGTACTTGAATTATGTAAGTACACTTCTGCTAACGGAAACATTTCCATCATAAGAAAAAATGGCTTTGATTACCTGAATATAGTCCACTGGGTTCTTTCCTTCACCTTCTTCAGACACAAGTGCTTTACCTTGTTCCCTCAAATAGGTACTCATACATTCGCACATTGTCTTTAAACCATTTGGGACACGACTAAATAATTTGTACATACACGCAAGATCTGCAGTAAATATATACATAAATGTTATATTATCTACTACTAATATATTTGTAATATTACCCAGCAAATCCAAATATTACCCAGCAATCCAAATATGATATTTCTGATGTTTCACTAAATTCTCCAATTTTCCAGAAGCAGGTTTTCTTGATCATAGCCCTCTCCATCTGAAATCAACTGCTTTGCTTCTTTTTCGTAATCATTTTGTAAGTGGATCGTAAGCTTCCAACAGACAGGAAGCAGCAGGTGAAGCTAGGCAGAATCACATCTGATACCTGTACAATTAGCACACCCCCCCGCCGCCCAAGGCTGTGTGCTCTCTCCACTTCTCTTCTCTCTATGTACCAATGACTGCATCTCAAATGATCCATCTGTTAAAGATACAACAGTGATTGGTCTCATTTGTGACAACGATCAATCCGCATACAGATGGGAGGTTGAACAACTAGCTTCGTGGTGCGACTGGTACAATCTTGAACTGAATAAACTCAAAACTGTAGAAATGGTAGTAGACTTTAGGAGAAACCTTCCCTACTACTACTTCTTACAATACTAGACAACGTAGTATCAACGGTAGAGATCTTCCAGTTTCCAGGTTCAATCATATCTCAAGACTTAAAATGGACACTTAACATCAAAAACGTCATCAAAAAAGCACACAAAAAATATTCTTTCTGCCCCAACTCAAGAGCTCAAAATGCCCAAGGAACTGCTGATACAGTTCTACAATTACTGAGTCTGTCATCTGTACCTCTATAACTGTCTGGTTTTCAGAGAATAATTAGGACTGCAGAAAAGACAATTACTACCAACCTGCCTTCCATCGAGAACCTGTATACTGCACGAGTCAAAAAGAGAGCTGTAAAAATATTTACAGACCCTCACATCCTGGACATAAACTGTTTCAACTCCTACCCTCAAAATGACACTATAGAGCACTGTACACCAGAAGTTTTTTCCCAAACGCCATTACTCTGCTAAACAAAAATTCCCGCAACACTGTCCAACTATTTATTAAGTCTGCATTACTATTACTACTAATCTTCTCATCGTTCCTATCACCCATCTCCTCCCACTTGTGGCTGTATGACTATAACTTTCTTGCTTGTATCCTTATGATTTATACTGACTATTTCCTAGTATGATTTGATTGCTTATTTGTACCCTATGACTATCATTAAGTGTTCTACCTTATGATTTCTTGATGAATGTATCTTTTCTTTTTATGTACACTGAGCATATGCACCAAGACAAATTCCTTGTGTCTAATCACACTTGGCCAATAAGAATTCATTCATTCATTTATTTTGAAATCACCTGGATTATCTCAATTAGTTTCCACCCATATCGGGCTTCGCTATTGTTGCAGACAGCACTGCACAAACTTACCTTCTGTTTTTCCATTTTTCAACATGTGTACTAGACCAGAATTTTCCATTTCCACTATGGTCTTCATATGCTTGGAAATAAGCTCCCTCTCAACAACTTTGACAATTGGCTCTTCTGTTGATTTATCAAGACAGTGCATCACACGTTCTATTTCTTCATTAATTCTAGCTTCTACTTTCTTTATATAAACTGAAGCACTATTTTCTGCTAAAAATTTCTGACTTTCCATCTGTAATAAAATAAAGAGAAATAGAACACTACATGAAACACTACAGAAAGTAAATCAAAACCCATTCAGTTGGTCTTAGTAGTAATTTCTTAAGGGACTAAATCATCACTCTACTACTGTATTAACTCTTGTATCTGCCATGCATTAATATCCACCAATGTTGATTATCATCTAAGGCAAAGGCTCAATGAACACAGGCTCATGTTCAGAACAAAGGGAAAATCTGAAACAAGAACCACTCTACGTTAGGGGCCAATAACAATTTTCCAGTCTGGTATTTTTTAATCTGGAATTAAATAACTGGAATTTGTATATTTGGAGGTGTGGGTATTCTTATTCCCATTTGTAAATACTGAAAAGCAGCACTTGTACCTGAAAGAATTCTGCTGACATCTCCAGAAATGGAGCTTCAAAGTCTTCTTCATAGACTGATCTTCCTTCAAGGCCTAGAATCATTAACATCTGGCAAGCATTTCTTATTGCTCCTCTGTCAAAATAGTACAATTTGCAGAGTAGGTTAATTTTTGGTGAAATTAATATTTGCAAACTATTCAATAAGTGTTTTCTGTAATATTTCCATATCTATTTTATTTCACACAAAAGTAAATGCTATATGTATCACAGCTCTCAATAAATGAAATAGCTAGAATAGTACTAAGAAAGGTCTTTTTATTATCACCCAAAGGCATACAATCACTACGAAAGCCAAAAAAAGAAAGAAAAGAAAGAAAAAAGAAATCAAGGCCAATTTTCAGAAAATGGTTTACTCCAATATCTACTGATGTGCATTTTAGAAATAACTACATTTTATTCCTGAATAATAAATTAACAAGAAGTTTCCAGGTGCAATTCAGGGCACTAGTCTTCATCTTTAAAGCCCTATATGACATTCAGCCATGTTATTTGCAAGATTGCTACCCCCAATGGTTTCTGCACATCTTACCATATCTAGCACAATGGGCAAACTCTGAGTTCATTGAATGAAGCACTGTCACCTGGTAGGTCCTTGGAAGCATGCCCTCCTCTCTTTCATGACAACTGCCTTGTGGAACAACCTCCTTTCAGGGATACCAACAGCCCTGGCTTTTTGTAACTGGGGGTTAATTTAATGGAACAATGAGGTGGATATATGTGAATTGTTTGAAAAGAAAGGGCCTCAAGTTGTTTCTTTTCAACAGATTGGTCATTATTTTATTCTTTTGCTGTCCAGAATTCCACTAGTTTGATAGCCATATAAGATAAGATAAAGCTGTGATTATATATTCAGCTGTGAATTACAAAGCAATTGAACTCAGTTGTTGTAGGTACTGTGAACTGCGTAGATACTAGGTTGATCTTCCTCATAATACGCCAAAACAACTAAAATTCCAGAGTTGAAAAATGTAAAGGAAATATGAGATTGAATAAAAAAAACCAATAAAGCCTAATAGCAAAAAAGTGATTGAGAAGTAAAGTAAAAAAGCCCCAAGCCCATAGATTTATCAAAATGATGTCAATGTAATTTATTTGTGGAGACATACCTATCTACCACTTCTCCTTTCCGTTCCCTTGCAATCATGTCTAACAAAGTCTGTCGGAGATGATCTCTAATGCACCCGTACCGTACAACTTGATCTCGAAAAATTATTAATCCCAAATTGTAGACATTTTCCACATTGTTTTGTTGTACATACACACGGTCCTAAAATCAAAGTACAAATACAAATGCAAGGCATCTATATAAGTTATCTATAGTAGAATCACTTAAATCTGCCTCAGCATCTATAAAATATGCTTTCATTCAGTTTCTTACCAAAATATTGCATTCAATATTATCAAAATTACTATTACATTTATTAAAAAATATACTGGATAAATGTATTAATCATTATTGGGTTATAGCTATTTTAAATAGAACATAATGTACATGTGGCTTCACATGTATAAAACTACAATATCTGATTAAAATGCAATAAAAAGTGTAAAATTGTTTCAGATGCTACGATTACAACTGCAAAAAGAGTGACTACTTAGAATATTTCAAAGAGTGACCATTTGTGTCCTTTAGAGGAAGGCTAACATCCTTTTAAGTACTGTATGTAGCAAACAAAAGGATGCCACAACCTACTTATATTCAAATTTAATAACCTAATTAGAACATAAAAATGGTAAAATAATTTAAATAAATTAGTATTTTACAGTTTCAAAGCCATGAACAATTAAACTGGATGGTGCATGTTTGCCTATTAATCAGATAAATGACAAATTCATTTATTTATTCCAAGCTTATATGGGATGGTAACAATGTTTTAGCTATGAGGGAATCTGAAAAACATGTTCTGGAATCTCTAGAATATGCATCAATGCAAAGATCATTATCTAGCAAAACATTTTTAGGTCAAAGGCATCTTTTTCTTAGAATCAGTACAGCTTCTTTAAAAATATTAACAAGTGCAATGTGGCTGTTCCCATATACTCCAAATCCCTACTTAGTTACAAATCTGCATTTCTGCCAAACTTTATTAGTTGTAAACCCAACCTCAATAAAGGAAAAAGAAATACTTCCTGATTTTTCACTATATGTGGAACTACTTAAAGCAATACAAATGTGGAAAGTTACTCCAATATGTTCAAATCTTCCAGGCTAGGAATAATAAAAACTGAACACTAAATATATAAATCAGGCTTAGCAAACTCATTTTTGCAATCTCTTAATCCTTAAAGTAGTATTTTTTTAAATGAAAACAAAAAAGAGGGACAAGACATAACCCAGGATAATTAAAACTAAACAGATATTTTTCATTGTTATATGCTGTCTTTAGGGTTGGCATATACAAAAATAGATTAAAGATATAAATTCAGAAAACAAACAATATGTAATAATGAGGAAGAATATAAAAATCATGTGCCAAATAATTTATTTTTAAAACCAGATAAAATATATAAACAAAAGTTTTTTCCTCTGTGTTAACTATGTTAGTTTGTATCAATTTTTCCAACAGCATGGAGTAGAAAATTTTTGCATTTTAATTGACCATTTTTGTAACCAGAATCTCAGATTTTACTTACCATATACATCAGAATATCTCTAATCATCACCATTGCTGTCTGGTGATCATTCCATGCTTGGTTTAATGTTTGAAGAAAATTGTTATTTAATGAGTTTAATACATCTTCTCGCACCTGCAACAAAATATTTAATTAAATAAATTGTTTAATATAGATCAGAGGTGGGCATTTATATCCTGCATTATCTAGAATGAATGAGGTCAAACACTGACTTTTGGGAAGGGGGACTTAAGGGGGAAAATACAGGGAATATTTTTCCTACACTGAATTCATTAAGTAGTATATATAGAGAAAGCAAACAATATCTGAAGCAGGAAAACACTAATGACCTGAAGGACTCTGCTTTCCTGACAAATAGACAAATGAATGCAGTTCGTAACTACTATAGGACTACTGCTCCGTCAGCCATTTCATTTTTCCTATTACTGTCCCTCTGAATATGAACAGATGAAGAGAAATTTCAAAGTTCCCCAGATGTGATTATTTTGTGAGAATACCACATGCCAACCATTTGAAAAGGATCGGTAATTTTTCATTATAGTTTGGAAGGATTTATATTTTTTACATCATCTGGTTGTTAGTATTCTGTGAGTCATTGGGATCACTTGGGAATTTATCTGTATCCTCAGAGTCACCTGAATAAGTGTGTAAACAGGTGTGGAACCTTCTTGGGATGGATGAAAGGGCAGGTTACAATCTCAAGGTGGTTTCACACCCATTTACACTCTTATTCACGTGACTCAAGAGGATACAGATAAACTCCCAAGTGGCCCCAATGACACTCAGAGAGCTAACAAGCAGAGGACTGCAGGGAATATAAATCCTTCCATTCCCCACCAGTCAGTTAAAACTGAAGAAGGTTCTTGGATAACAATTGAAAAGTTTTCAAACAAAAAAACCAAAGGAAGTCCAGTTGCCTTTTGGAAAAAGCACTTTTGAGATGACCATGACTTAGATGATTTAGAATCTCCATAGACTACTATTTTCTCTTTCATCAGCTACAATCACCAATCTTCTTTTATTCTATAAAATCGCCAACAAGACAACACAAGTGGAAATATAAAACATGCTGAAGCCAGCAACCCATCCTAAGACGCTAATGTCCCACTGGATTGTATTGTGCCCAAAAGGCAATCTTTCTGTTGTGTTTTAGGATGTTAAAAGGGTAAAACAGGCAACTTAAATTTTGCAGAAATTTAAATATGCACAGAAGCTCTTTAAAAAAATCCAAAGCTCATAAACTGGGCTCTTTTTTGCATTTTAAGGAGCCTAATGTATCAGTGTTACCCTTTAAATTTTCTGCAAAACAAAATAAAAAAGATCAACAAAAATTCAGATTCCAACATTTGAGTTCCTTAACCCACCAACATTACACTGTCATCAATCATGTTCTGCATTCTCCAAGCAGACAAGAAATGTACCGAAGCCAAAGTATACCTGTCTCTATTCTAAAGACAGCCAAATGTTCAAAGAACATATCACTTTCAACATTTTCAGTACATTATTATTGCATTCAGATACCTTATTTATAAGATGCTCCGTAACCACTTCTCGTAATCCAGTGTATAATTTTTCTCCATGTTTATGTAATACCATAGTATATGCATTTCTATACAGTTCTTCAAAGCTGAGACCACTATTGTTCTTACGCTGAATTTCTTGGATTGCGTTTTTCAATAGATCCCAAATGCTGTTAACATATTTTTCATCCATGGTCATCTGTATGTGGACATAAAAAAGTACGGTTAAGAGTTTATTAGTGTCAGGTTTTCAAAACGTATTCCCTCTAAAACAGCTAAAGGGCCAAATTTACCTAAAAGGTAGATGCTACTACATTTTAGAGAACTCCCTCCCCCCAAAAAAGAAAGATAGAATGTGTGTGTGTAGATAAGTACAGACAAAATTCCTATAATACTGCTCAGCTTCCCTGCCTCTTCAGTTATGATTCTCAAAACCACTGAACACAATCTTGCAAAACAATGTATGCTGCTGAGCATATATAAGTATAAAAGAGTATGACCAGGACAAAATTTTAACATGTCTATTGTATAAAATTGTCCATAAAGTTACCCATCTCATTTTCATATCCGGACATTCCATTCTCTCAACATATAACTATGCATTCTACAGAGAAAAAATATTGCAGAAATTTGGATTCAGCTAGCACAAAACTAGAAATGTCTTGTTTGTCATAAATTCCAATGAGTTCAATTTTTTCCTCCATGATATCTAGGCCATGGACTCTGTTGTGCCTCCTTAACTGGGATTTACTTCCTTAACTGGGATTGGTCTTAGAAAATGATAAAACTGAATAAACATAACTGAACTTAGAAACTAATAAAGTCAGTCCTAGCTAATACTTGGATTATGAAGAAACAGCAGATCTGTTGGACAGAAAAGTTGAAAAATCATCCTAGAAACAAAATGGCAAGCAATGTCCATATATGTATAAAATTATGTAGTATATTCATGAAAGCCCTAGGAATCAAGCTTAACTTGGAAGAGATTTTATATTTTTAACTGAGAAAGAATGGGGTCAAGCATTGAGCCATTTTTTCTCCTTTCTTTTGCCAACAGAAGAATGGTGTGAATAAAGGGGATCTAAAGGCCATCTGCTAGAAAACTAGGTTTTCTTGTACAGTTGGTTGATGACTATGAGAACAAACTGCCAATCCCCCCCCCCCCCATATATTTCCCTGTTCCTGTCTTTTTGGTTGTTCTGCCTTCTGCAGTCCCTCACTCTTTCCAGCCGACCTTCACCAATTTCTTCCTCCTGCTGCTGCTGAAGTGGGCTTGGGCGAGGCAGCTGCTGGCAGTGGCACCTCCCTGAGATCTTGGAAAGGTCACACACAGCCAGGAGCTGTCTCATGAAGGACAGTGGGGGTGTGTGTGTGTGTGAGTCTTGTCAAGAGCAGAAAGAAGATGGTGGCAAAGGTCAGCTGGGGGTAGCAGAGGCAGGGTGACGGGAAAAGGAGGAATGTAAGCTGACACAAACAGCAGAGAAGGCAGGGGAGACAGGCGGATAGGATAGTTGAAGTGAAGGTTAGCAAGGACAGAAGTGTCAGGTCCTCACCTAACAAGGTTGGAGTCCTGCCCTAATGACCATAACAGGGAGTATTGCTTATAGAGTGGCAAAACTTCTGTCACTAAGTGGGGAGGTTATGTGATGTCTCTGGGCATCACTAGTAACTGCTTTGCACAGTGATGGATATTCCAGTTCTAATTAGAACTGATAAGTGAGGACTACCTGTATTTAATTTCAGTGGAGGATCCCGAGTTGCAACACTGAAAAAAAATAAATCTCAGTATCTGCTTAATCCAATTTGTGGTTTTATACACATATTCTATCCTGATTTTTTTCACTTTTCTGACTGAGAAACAGCTTTTCTAGCCTCTTAGTTACTTTAATTGCCTCTCTCTTTTCTCAAATGTGATTGTAACACTTATCTATCATATTCCAAATACAGGTAGTCCTTGACTCATAACAGCTCATTTAGTGACTGTTTGGAGTTACAAAAGCACTGTAAAAAATGATGTGTAACCAATTTTCACACTTACAAGGATTGTAGCATCCCCAAGGTCATGTGATCAAAATTTAGATGCTTGCCAACTGACTCATATTCATGAAGCTGTAGTGCCTCAGGATCATGGAATCACCTTTTGTGACCTTCCAACAAGCAAAGTCAATGGGGAAGTCAGATTCACTTAACAACCGTGTTACTAACTTAACAACGGCAGTCATTCATTTAACTAAGGCAAGAATAGTCATAAAATGGGGCAAAACTCACTTAACTGTCACACTTAGCAACAGAATTTTTGGATTCCTTTATGGTCATAAGTCAAGGACTATCTGTATACTGTTATTATAATACATAAATGAATATAGTGGTTGTTTTATTTTCAGTTCCCTATCAAAAGTGTAATTTGCCTTTTTATGTATTCCCGACAACAAACAGTCAGATACAGTCCATGTATGGATGCATTTTTTTTTGCTTCTTCTACAAGCACAAAATTTCTTCACTTCAGCTTTTCGGTAAACTGAAATTAACCAAAGAATATCTGTACATTTCCCTTAGTTTAATTTCAGTTGAAATAGAAAAGTCTGGTTCCCGACATTAAAACAGAAGAGAACTTTTAAGAGGGTTGAAAACCTGTTCTGAAACTGATAAATAGTTCCAATTGAACTTAGCAATAGTACAAAGAGAGAAACAAAAGGACTATATTTTAAGGGGGCGAGCTTATTAACATTAAGGGGAGATGCAATTACTCAAACCATGCTACAGAATCAATGCTGAATAAATTGTTGTTAAGTATATATTTATTCTTTTTAAATCTCCTACTATTCAAGACAAATCATGAACACAAATAAAAATTCTGTGCTGAATACAGAAACCCATAGCAGCACATTATGCTGGCACTGAAAAGCTATTGGAATAACTTCCTAAAAATTCAAGAAAGACAATGTAGCTGTTTTAATTATTTGATGGTACTAGATAAATATTTAATGTCTACATAAGTCAAGAAGGAGCAGGCTGTCAATGGTTAAAGTCAACAAGCATACAAACTCTCACTAGTTCTGCACTGCCAAGTTGACAGTAAGGCATGGAACATAATGTTGCATGATTTAAAGATAATTCAAATGATTTAAAGATAATTCAAACATTTGAGTATTTTAGCAAAATCAGTATGATAGAAAGATGGGGAAAGTTTATTTTAATTCAGGCTGAATTTTTGGGGTTACTTGCTTCTTATTTAGAATTTTTCTTCAGGAATTTTGCAAAATGTATTTTACAAAACTAATAATGTTTTAAAATGGACAAATGCAAGAATTGGGATGCACAGCATTCCTCAAACACAGGATTTCAAAGATAATACCAAAATCCCTCTACTTATAATAAAGTATGTGAATTATGGATAAAGAAAGACTGAAGTCAAGTGTTGATATCTACCTTTGTGTAAAACGGCTTAAGGAAAATCAGAACTAGTCTCTTACGATTATGCCAGTAGAAGAACTGGATGGAGGGTCAGGATCAAGGAAGTAACAGCAAACCCTGGTTTACTGTTCTTTCTCAAATACTTCCATAATTTACTGAAGATAAGCTACTAGTCAGATTCAAGATGATAATGTACTTCAGAAAGAAACAGTTGACATTACAGCATGGAACAACCTTAACAAATACATTATTAAACCAAAGATTTGCAAGAATCAAGCTACATGTTATGTATATGTCTATGTTTGTTTTAGCATTGTACTACCGAGAAAATATTTATGGAAGACACTGCAACAATTCACTGTATAAACATGAAATCACTTCTCTTTTAGCAAACAGAAGTTAACAATAACATTACAAAATGTAAGTTTCATGCACTATTTTTTCCTAATTTCTTACAATCTTAATCAACTGCATATGTAACAGAATAGAGATATTCAAAACTAAATCAAGATTTCGTTCTAACTGAAAATATGCATGCTTTCTCTGTAAGTTAGGAAATAAGTTATCATAATATATCTTTATAGCTCGTAATTTTTAATAACCATAAATATTGATATGATTGTTATTTGTGCAGTGAGATATATTACAATATTTTGTGTGTGTGTGTGTGTTCAGAAAGTGTTCAAATATTTAATATTGTATTTATTGATAGTTAGATATATCAATACAGAATAAATAGAAACACTAACTCAGTAATTTAAGAGTCTAATCAGTTACCAAAGTTCCATTTCAGATAAACTTATTTCCAATTCTGTCCATAATAATGAATTATTCAAGAACTCAGCAGTTACATATAGAATGACCTGTCACAATTGCTGAGAGATACACAAGAGGATGGGTGAAACAAATCAAGCAAAAAATTGAATGTCAAAGACTGCTGGACTCCAATACACTAAGCTTATGAATACAAGCAACTGAAAAGTTAAGGTACAGCAATTAGAATACAAGCAACTGAAAAGTTAAGGTACAGTAACTAAGGATCACACCAAATAATGGATCACATAAGACCAGAACATTTATAAGCAATATGCATACTGAATAGATTTTCCCCCCAATAAAGCATCTGCAATAATGTATTACCTCTGAAGTGTTTTCTTTACAATCATTTTCTAGAAATCCTTTAAAAGGATTATTTTCAAGTATTTCAGATAGTTTTATAAAAACTGTCTTCACCATTCATACAGAAACTCAAAGTTCTAATTTGGTTACTAAGAGGCATAAGTCAGTCTGTGACGTCATTAGAATGTTGAGGTAGCTCTTAATGAAATGTTAGACTATAAGTGACTACTTGTCACAGTAACACTGCAGCAGAAGACTTTATTAAATTCTGAGTATTTCAATGTAACATGAAGACAGTTTCAGATATATTTGGAATAACCAGGTAGGTCAACTTAGCCATCTGAAGAAATAAAGCAATCTTAAAGATAAACCAGCTTAGGGTATGAATTATGACTACTTTATGTCTCTATCCATCCAACCAGAGCTGAGAGAGGTTTGCTGAAAACCACACCGCCAGGGAAACATCATCTTCAAGGACCTGATCTCAAGTTGCTCAATCTCAATTTTTCACATGCATAATTCCTCATCCTCTCTTTGTGGAGCTGCAACTTTGACACTACTGAGAAGCTTCAGTGTACATTACATAAACATAGAATTACATTTATTTAAACATTTATTAAATTGATGTGCTGTACTGTTAAGTGACTCTGGGAAGTCTGCAGCATA